GAACACACACACACAAACACACACACACACACAGACACACACACACACACACACACACACACACACACACACACACACACACACCTGCACACACACACACACACACACACAAACACACACACACACACACACACACACACACACACACACAAAACACACACACACACACACACAGACACACACACACACAAACACACACACACACACACACACACAGACACACACACACACACACACACACACACACACACACACACAAACACACACACACACACACACACACACACACACACACACACACACACACACACACACACACACACACACACACAAACACACACACACACAGACACTCATAACTAACAACTCAAACCACTAATTTTCTCTTAAAAAAAACACACAAAAAAAACAAAGATTTATATGAAGACAAAAATAAACACTAGCCAAATTATACCTTAATAAAACAGTATATCAATAAGTACACGAGTATAATTACCTGGTCTAATTATACTCACCAATTTAATTACCTCAAGGACCGAAGTATGTCCAGGTAAAGGTAATTAGATACTTACTCAGTCATGTGTCAATTACAGTGTTAGAGTGTTAAGTGTTAAGTAACTTGTGTTTAAGTATTCCACTGTAGTAATCCGAGCTTATAAGTGACTTGTTTTTGTAATGATGTATCCTTTGATAACTGGTGATACAGGGCCTGGTGTAAGTGGTGATACAGGGCCTGGTGTAAGTGGTGATACAGGGCCTGGTGTAAGTGGTGATACAGGGCCAGGTGTAAGTGGTGATACAGGGCCCGGTGTAAGGGGTGATACAGAGCCAGGTGTAAGTGGTGATACAGGGCCCGGTGTAAGTGGTGATACAGGGCCCGGTGTAAGTGGTGATACAGGGCCCGGTGTAAGGGGTGATACAGGGCCCGGTGTAAGTGGTGATACAGGGCCCGGTGTAAGGGGTGATACAGAGCCAGGTGTAAGTGGTGATACAGGGCCCGGTGTAAGTGGTGATACAGGGCCCGGTGTAAGTGGTGATACAGGGCCCGGTGTAAGGGGTGATACAGGGCCCGGTGTAAGTGGTGATGGGGCCTGTGTAGTGTGAGAATGGTGATACAGGGCCTGGTGTGAGGTGGTGATACAGGGCCCGGTGTGAGTAATACAGGGCCTGGTGCAGAGTGGTGATACAGGGCCTGGTGTAAATGTTGATACAGGGCCCGGTGTAGAGTGGTGATACAGGGCCTGGTGTAAGTGGTGATACAGGGGCCCGGTGTGAAGATGTTGATACAGGGCCCAGTGTAGAGTGGTGATACAGGGCCTGGTGTGAGAGTGATACAGGGCCTGGGCATGAGGTGGTGATGCAGGGGCCTGATGTGAAATGTTGATACAGGGCCGGTGTAAGTGGTGATACAGGGGCCTGGTATGAAATGGTGATACAGGGCCCTGTAAGTGGTGATACAGGGGCCCGATGTGAAATTGGTGATACAGGGGCCTGGTGTAAGTGGTGATACAGGGCCTGGTGTATTGATACAGGGGCCCGGTGTAAGTGGTGATACTGGGGCCCAGTGTAAGTGGTGATACAGAAGTTTTTCAGTGTAAGTGGTGATACAGGGCCCGGTGTAAGTGGTGATACAGGGCCTGGTGTAAGTGGTGATACAGGGCCCGGTGTAAGTGGTGATACAGGGCCCGGTGTAAGTGGTGATACAGGGCCCGGTGTAAGTGGTGATACAGGGCCTGGTGTAAGTGGTGATACAAGGACCTTATTAGTGGTGATACAGGGCCCCTTGTAAGTGGTGATACAGGGCTTGGTATAAGTGGTGATAGAAGGGCCTTATTAGTGGTGATAGAGGCTATATAAGTGGTGATAGAGGCCTTACAAGTGGTGATAGAGAAATTTATAAGTAACTAAGTGCCGATAATGAGAATGACTGAGCAGGAAACTTTTGTGAAATACCTGAATCATGTATTGGAGTTAATTATTAATGGTCTACAGGTGATTAAGTGCGCTTTGTGTTGTGGCGTAGAGCTGTTGATAGTGTTTCCGTGCGTTTTCGTTCATCGTTTGTCCGTGTGTAGTGAGTGAGGGGTAAATTTTATTGTGAAACTAAGCTGATAAACTTCTTTGTACACACACACACACCCCTTCAACCCCCACACACACCTTCACCCCCCAATACACACCTTCACTCCCCACACACCTTCCTCCCCACACACATCCTTCACCCCCACACACACCTTCATCCCCCCCACACACACCTTCACCCCCACACACGCCTTCCAGCACCCCCACACACACCTTCACCCCCACACACACCTTACACACACCTTCATACCCCACACCCCCCACACACACACCTTCACCTTCCCCACACACACCTTCACACACCTTCACCCCCACACACACCTTCCCCCACACCCACCTTCACCCCCACACACACCTTCACCCCCATACACACCTTCACTCTCCACACACACCTTCACTCCCACACACACTCCCACACACACCTTCACACACCCACCACCACCTTCACCACACACACCCTTCACCCCACACACACACCACCTTCATCACACACACCTTCACCCCCACACACACCTTCACCCCCTCTTTCACCCCCACACACACCTTCAACCCCACACGCACCCCACGCACTTTGCACCTTCACCCACACACACACCCCACACACACACCTTCCCCCCCCCACACACCTTCACCCCACACACACCTTCACCCCCACACACACCTTCACCCCTTACACCTTCACCCCCCACACCTTCACCCCACACACCCCCACACACACACCTTCACCCCCACACACCTCACCCCACACCATCTTCACCCCCCCACACACCTTCACCCCCCACACACCTTCACCCCACACACCCTTCACACACACCTCACCCCCATCACCTTCACCCCCATACACCTTCACCCCACCACACACCCTTCACCCCCACACACACCTTCACCCCCACACACCTTCACCCCTACACACACCTTCACCACACACACCTTCACCCCCACACACCTTCACCCCCCACACACCTTCACCCCCACACACACCTTCACCCCTCATACACCCCACCCCCCACACACACCTTCACACACCCCACACACACACCACCCCCATTCACACACCTTCACCACACACACCTTCACCCCCCACACACACCTTCACCCCCACACACACCTTCACCCCCACACACACCTTCACATACACACTCTTCACCCCACACACACCCCACACACACCTTCCCCCCACACTCACCCCACACACACCTTCACCCCCACACCACACCCCCCACACACACCCCCACACACACCTTCCCCCACATACACCTTCATCCCACACACCTTCACCCCCACACACACCTTCATCCCCACACACACCTTCACCCCCCACATACACCTTCACGCCCCACACACACCTTCACCCCCCACACCCACCTTCACCCCCCCATACACCTTCACCCACCACACACCTTACACCTTCACCCCACACACCTTCACCCCACACACATCTTCACCCCCACACACACCTTCACCTTTCACACACACCTTCACCCACACACACACTCTTCACCCCCATACACCTTCACCCCCCCATACACCTTCACCCCCACACACACCTTCCAGAGTTGAGGCTCAAATTGCTTCAAGATCTCGTTTCTGAAGACGTTGGGCAAGATGTTGATTGATGCCTCGACCAGGTAATCCAAAGACCCCATACCTGTCGAATGTACCTCCATGTCACCTGTGGAGAAGGAGAGGAAGAAGGGTCAGGAGGAGGAGAAGGACCAGAAGGGTCAGGAGGAGAAGGAGGATGAGAAGGATGAGGAAATGAGAAGGGTGAGGAAGAGGATGAGAAGGATGAGGAAATGAGAAGGGTGAAGAAGAGGCGTAAGAGGGGGGGAAGGAGGACGAGGAGGAGAAGGAGGAGGAGGTAGAAGAACTAAAGATAATGAGGGAAGAGGAAGACATTGAAGAAAGGAGATACAAAGGTAGAAGTAATGAGGATATGGAGATAAGATGATAACAATAGAATGAGAAGAAGAAGAAGAAGAAGAAGAAGAAGAAGAAGAAGAAGAAGAAGAAGAAGAAGAAGAAGAAGAAGAAGAAGAACTTAAACTAATCTCTTACAACAGATTAAGTAAAAGCCTCTTAGTAACCCACATCATAAATAACAAAGAATAAATGAACCTACGAAGAGAAAGTTAAAATAAATGAAATAAATGGGAAAAATAAACTACACATTAATGATAAAATTACAGATATTGTTTATATTTTGTGTCTTCTTTCTCTTCTTTTCCTAGTTATCTTATCCTCTCATTCTCTTTATCCTTATCTTGCCTTATCCTTCAAACTAGTATTAAATCCCGTCTCTCTCTCTCTCTCTCTCTCTCTCTCTCTCTCTCTCTCTCTCTCTCTCTTCTGTCCCATAATTTATTTTGTTCCTAGCTCTCACTCCTTCTCGTTCTTTCTCCCCTTCTCCCCCCAACACACCCACACCCACACCCACACACCCAATCCCATATCAACGCACTCACACATACACACACACACACACACACGCACACACACACACACACACACACACACACACACACACACACACACTTACCGACATGACAGTCAAGGGTCCTTAGAGTCGGAGGGCTTCTAAAGTTCACCTTCTGATGTAACTCGAAGGTAACGCTGAAGCTGCTAACGACCGCCCACAGGTGACCCCCAACACCCGGCAGGTAAGGCACCCACCAGTCACCCGTCACCTGCAGCCCCCGCGTGCCTACCTGTTGCCACAACACTGTAGCTAGTAAGCCTGTAAGTCGGTCCACTTAAGGTTGGTCCTCGTGTGTACCTTTAATAGTTGTATGTATGTATGTATGTATGTATGTATGTATGTATGTATGTATGTATGTATGTAAATGATATATGTTTTAGCATGATTCGTGTGTAAATGACTCGATTTTAATAATGCTTGTATGTAAATGATGTGATTTCTTAACGGGGTACTTGTATGTAAATTAAGTGGTTTTTAAGGGGGTTCTTGTATGTAAATGATGTAGTATTTAACGGGGTTCTTGTGTGTAAATGAGATGTTTTTTTAATGTTTTGTAAATGAGAAATATTTAATAATTGATATAATAATTGTATATATATTGAAAGTGTCTTACAGTAGATAGACAAGTCAAAATTCATTACTGATTTTAGAGTTTGTGAGCAGATTAATTATCCTACTACACGGAGACATTTACAGACATTACTTAGAATTAGCCATTAATATACTCAAAGGGTTAGGATTATGGGTAAAGGGATGGGATCATACTCAAGGGGTTAACATATCACACGCCTGTACTGATTCATTATACTCAAAGGGTTAGCATTATGGGTAAAGGGTTGGGATCATACTCAAGGGGTTAACATATCACACGCCTGTACTGATTCATTATACTCAAAGGGTTAGCATTATGGGTAAAGGGTTGGGATCGTACTCAAGTGGTTAAAAGTCAAATGGACGATATAATTCACCTTTTGCGAATCACAAATTTCTAATTAACATCAATATACATAGCCAAGATCTTATTCATTTTGCTGTGATATACTTACTTTAAAGTCCAAATGTGACATGAAAACGTTACCTCAGCTGTGACATGAGTTACGACTGCTGTGATGAGAGACAGGTAAGACCTTATTCATATATCCGTGACTTACCTGTATGACCACGTCGATGGTGTTGTCGACCAGTTTGAGATACACCTCCTGTGTCCTGTGCAGCGTCGACATCCCCACAACCACCATGTCGTCCACCTGTACAACAACACACACTGAATGTGGTGGTTGCGTGATTAACCACCACATTCAGGTATCCGTTACCACGCCCACCAACATGACCATCCGTTTTCGCCGTCTGATTTCTCAGTTCTTGGCAGGATCAACTGTGAGACGGACCTTCTCATTATGGAAGCCTTGCATCAGTATAAAGTAAAGTCATCCATTTATGATATGGCTTCCTGTGAATTGCTGTGTTTTTCACACTAAGGCTCGTTTAAATTAAGGTAATACCCCCTGTATATATTTTTCTTCTGATTTTAGTTTTGTACGTAGGTCTCTCGTCATTTTTATCGGTTTTAAATTATAATGTTTTTTTTTAATTTGCGGAAGATAAATTTTGGTATAATGTTACGTTCTTATTGTATGTCACCTGTATTTTTTCTTAACATTTTAAAACTTTTTGTTTTCTAGCCTCTGGTGATGGAAAATGATTTTCCGAAACGCTAGTGAGTAAAGAAACCCAACTTAGTCAAGATGTTTGTGTTTTCCCTGGTTCTCCTCTTCGTTATGTATGTATGTAATGTGTGTGTGTGTGTGTATATGTATGTGTGTGTGTGTGTGTGTGTGTGTGTGTGTGTGTGTGTGTGTGTGTGTGTGTATGTGTGTGTGTGTGTCCTGAGGAGTGAGTACGCTACGTAACAGTGATAAAATAAATTAATCTCTTATTTAACTCAGAATAACGAGCCACTTACCTTGAGAGTTACACCAAACCCCAGATACACGGCCACCTGGTCCACCTGCAATGGGTCTTTCTCCAACACCCTCAGCTTATGCCGGACCTTAAGTGTCAAATATATTCAACTGAGAATTAAACCACAGGATGAAACAAAATTCATACAAATAAATTAGGTCTATATATTGCTTCCTAAATGTGAGTGACATACAGAGATAATTAATATAAACAGTGTATATATATTGATGTAGGAAGCAAACCTTACCTTGGTCATCATGTAGTCGAGGGGGGAAATGGAGTCAGGGAAAGACCAGCCTTCAGTATCACTCTGTATGGCCGGGTTCATCACTGACACCATCCAGTCCTTCACCTGCTCGTCAACACAGATGACACAATTATTTCATCGCCCATAAGTACCAAACAGGTGAGCACAAAATAACATAATTAATTCTTCCTCGACAAGTACTGTATATAACATAGATAAACACAGGTGAACAGAACGCAAATACTCTTTCACCTACAGGTACAGAACACAGGTGAACACATTCCGAGTGAGTCAAAGGCAGGTGTAAAAAAATAACATTTAAGATAAAACTCACAAGAGAGAGAGAGAGAGGGGGAGAGAGAGAGAGAGAGAGAGAGAGAGAGAGAGAGAGAGAGAGCAGGGCAAATTGATACCCGATCGACAGGTTCTCGAAGTCCATGACCGTGCTACTGTAGGTCATCTCAAGCTAAGGGAAGAGAAGGTCAGATGGTGAACTGTGAGGTGATTTCTCTCTATCATCTTAATTATTATTTCTCTCTTTCTTATTATTTAACATCGTTCCTGTTATTACTAGTCATCTTCGGTCTTTTTTTTAAATTATTATCCATTATTCCTCCTACTACTGTTTGCAGAGGTTAGGTTAGGTTAGGTAAGGTTAGGGTAAGGTTAGGTTAGGTGAGAATTGGTAGAGTAAACACCACAATATATTGAGACTGAAATTGTTGATGTGTATTAATCTCTGACGTCACGGGGTCGGTGGGGTGGGTGTGGGGGGTGGGTAGGAACTCGTGAAGGCCACCCAAGTGTTGACGATTTAATTACCTTTAATGACAGAACAGCAGTCACAGGATTTCGTTAATTCCCTTGTAACCTAACCTAACCCAACCTAACATGACCTAACCTAATCTAACCAAGTTCAGTCTTACCTAACCTAACTGAACCTAACCTAGCCTAACCTAACCTAACTGAACCTAACCTAGCCTAACCTAAACACTGATAAATATAATCTTTAAATTAATTGGCTGTATTTAACGAGCTTTTGCAGCTGCAATAACTGGTAGCCCCCCCCCCCCCACATCTATACACCCCCCGCACCAAGCGCACCTGTGACTCATCATGCGTTTTATGCCTGATTCACAACCTTTAATTTATATTGGATTCTATTTGCTGTACAGATAAACAGTATTGAATTCTATTTGCTGTACAGACAAACAGTATTGGATTCATCTCGTATTTAGTTGATGTCATGAGGTAGCTAAAAGAGGTTGTCTAGTTGTTTCGTTAGTGAGCATTTAATCAATAGTACACCTGGGTATACAAAAGGTCATAAGACATAACAGCTTAGTGAGAGAAGACGATTGAGGGGTGAGAATAATTGCTACATGTCCTAAGGGTGGGGGGGAGAAGAGGGGGGAAGGGACGGAAGGTGGAGGGGCGGAAAGGGGGGAGGGGAGGCGAGGATGAAAGTTTAACCCCCTTTTTTCTTACCTCTATTATTTATTCACATTTACCTTCCCCCTCCCTACCACCTTTTACCTTCATCTACCCCCCCCCCCTTTCATTCGTTACTCCTTCACTCATTATGATCTTTCACTTAATAGTTCCTTCATTCACTCTACCCTTCCCATTTATCCCAATTACCCCTTCCCTTTAGGTCAATGGCCTCCACTTCCCTTCCCTCTTCATTCTCTTCACACTACTAAACAGACCCACTAAACAGACCCCACTCCCCCCCTTCCCACCACTAAGCAGACCCACTCACCTCTCTCTCCCTCCTCTCCCCCTTCCCACCACTAAACAGACCCACTCACCTCTCTTTCCTCCTCCCCCTTCCCACCACAAAACAGACCCCACTCACCTACACCTCCCCTCCTTACCTGTACACCTAATTAGAGCCACCTGTCTCAAGGGAGAAAAACTCTCAGCACAGATCATGACATGTTCCATTGTACACCACCGCCAGGGCTTCAGGGCAGACCTTTAACAGCTGCAGTGAGGGACAAGTGGGACCTGATGGACCTGGTTGATACTATTTTGTCTTGTTTATGTTTTTTCTCTTTTTATTTTCTCTTTTTGATTTGTATTTTAGTTTGTCTCCGTTTCTTTCCTTGGCTTTTTTTGTTTTATTATGTTAGTTCGTGTGTGTGTGTGTGTGTGTGTGTGTCTAATTTCCTCTTCTCCAACTCCCTTCCCTCACTTGTAGAAGAGAACCCTCAATTATCATGCATAAAATAAACAGTCATTCCCCACCTGCAGCAGAAGTTTTCATCACTCTCACCTAGCCTCTCCTCCTTCTCCTCCTCCTCCTCTTCTCCCCCAACCGCAACTAACCTCCAACACTTTATCCACTTCCCCAACACCGCTACCCCAACCCCAGTACCCCACCCCAACACCCCATCCCCATCCCACCGCTCTATTACCTCTACCCCACCACCCCACCCCAACACCCCATCCCACTCACCGTCGTGTGGTCAGAGGTCATCGTCAGTTGCCCATCGCTGTCAGGTACGACGGCAAATCGGAACGACAGTCGGACATCGTTGAGGGTAATATTGGTGGCCCCGGACTCGTCTCTGTTCCAGAACACGGTCGCCTTCCACAGGTACTGACCCAACGATGACAACACCGGCAGTCTCGCTTCTGCCTGTACCTGTAAGTGTGTCAGTCAAAAGGAACATCATCAGGTTAATTAACGTGTTTTTACCTGTCTCGTGTGTGTGTGTGTGTGTGTGTGTGTGTGTGTGTCTGTTTCATAAAGGGAAGTAGAGAGGGATCGAGAGAAAAAGAGGGAGAGAAAGAGAGATCAAAATAAAGTAAGCTAAAGATAAAAAGAGAAAAAAAATGAGAGACAGAAGAGAAAGAGATATAGAAATGTAATCGATTATACATACAGACAACCCACCAGTTCATCATGTTATGTTCAGCACATTAATGTTCATCCTGTTGATATAACCATAATCTGCGTAGCGATAATTACGTGTCGCACATTGTTAACTTCAACCGCCACGTAATATTGGATTTACAGTTACCATTCCCCCTATTTAAACTCTAGTAGGCTCAAGCAAGTCACTCGGCTGACATAGTACCGTACAAACTCTCTTACGAGTATATCAAATGTGACATGAGCTGACTCGTTGGTGTCATAATGATATTTATTACTTTGTTTCAACAACTGAGGTCTCTAAACGTGTAATAAGGTTAGTAATTATCCTAGTTTATCAACGAATTAAAGTTATGAAATTGAACTCCCTGTACAAGTAGGTCAAACATCACCACTACCTTCCGACGTAACAATCTGCCCCCTTCATTTTTTGCTGACCAGATGCGCGCGCACCTTGTTTACATTCTGAGGGCGCGTGGCGTTTCCAGTATTGCCATCTTATTCTAGACTGTTTTATAATTAACGTCGTGCACACTTGGCCACATTTTCCCTGAGTTTTTTCATCTGATTACTGTCGTGTATAGTGTTTGCTTCTCCCTGGCCAGCATTTGCATAATGTTACGAATTTGTTAGACGACAAATATTTGCTCTGTCAGGAGAAGTGGATTACTAAGCGTCGCTGAGCTCATAACTCCCAGTCTCTCAGTTTGTCCGCATACATTTTTAAGTCAAATAGTTTGCTCTCTTTTTACGTGACTCCTCTTGGCTATTCGTTTGTTTAACACTGAGAAAACACTTTTGTGTTAGTTTGTCCCTCGCTATAAAATGTAAATAATTTTTATGAGCTTTCTTATTTTTAATTAATGCACACTCATGGCTCGCCATGTTCGCCCACACAGACACGCTACGCTGGGGAGAACTGTGTGTGTGTGTGTATGTTTTGTCTTTGTCTTTCTGTTTCAATGTAAAATAACGTTTGTATATAATATATGTTTATATCTCTTTGAATATACTACATATATATATATATATATATATATATATATATATATATATATATATATATATATATATATATATATATATATATATATATATATCATGTAGATCCACAATGAAAACGTGGATAAGATAAATCTTATCCATCTTCAGAGGCAACTGAATAACATGGACAGAGAGAGGCTAAAGTACACAGGGTGACCTTACTAAACATGAGGTCAGGTCATAAATATGACATCCACTATTCAGCACACCACCACACACGTAGAGGAGCTTAAGAGAAAGGCGACTTGACTAGTCAAGTTAAGTCAGGTCAAAAATATGGGACCCACTAATCATCTATCCTACACCTAACTCCAATGCTAAAAAAGCATTTTTAACCTTGGACCTCTGACAAATAAATTTGTGGGACATATTATCAGTTTTGTACTGACCATCACTGAGGTTTATAGAATTTAATTCCCTAATCAAACTTGCTTCAACCTGAAGTCTTTTTGTCACACATGATGATTTATACACTTCTAAGCTGTTTTCCCAATCCATGGGATGATTACTGTTCCTAACATGAACGAACAGTGCACAGCTTTCAGATGCTGTTCTGATATTATAATTGTGCAGCTTAATTCTGAGTTACAATGAATAAAGACGAAAGCCCTGAAGATGTGAATTACACGAAAGCGCTTGGGAACTTCGTGTTTTCTTCTTTCCTTGTGGTTATCAGCATATACCTAGATCACGCGCAACTACAGTGATTTACTTGCATGTATATATATATATATATATATATATATATATATATATATATATATATATATATATATATATATAGAGAGAGAGAGAGAGAGAGAGAGAGAGAGAGAGAGTATAAGTGCAGGTAGTCATGACAAAGGTAGGTGCCACAGGAAGATAACACGTGTACCGAGTCTGATACAACCAACACAGTACACCGGGGCATTTAATTTTTCTTTATTAACATATGAAGAGATGACTGGCGCCGATGATGATATCTGTACTAGATAACCTTATCAGGCGTGACCAACTGATCCCCGAGTTGGTGCTGTGAGGCCTCTTAGGAGTGGGGCCCTCCCTCCACACTCACCTACCACCACTGTCACCACACACCTGCCACCACTGTCACCACACACCTATCACCACTGTCACCACACACCTACCACCACTGTCACCACACACCTATCACCACTGTCACCACACACCTACCACCACTGTCACCACACACCTGCCACTGTCACCACACACCTATCACCACTGTCACCACACACCTACCACCACTGTCACCACATCTACATAAGAACATAAGAACATAAGAATGGAGGAAACGCAGCGGGCCTATGGCCTTCACAATTGTCCCGTTTTACACCCAACCCTATTGCTCATATGAGCATCCAACCTATGTTTGAAGCAATTCAGCG